ATCATCCATGTTTAATGCGGTTATAAAAGGTCACTCTCGTCCCTCCCCTGTTTCATACGGTTACAATAGGTCACCCTTGTATCCCCCCACCCCCACCCCCACCCCCACTTGTTTAATACGGTAACAATACGTTACCCTTGTATCTCCCCTGTTTCATGCGGTCGCAACAGGTCACCTTTGTATTTCTTAATTTTTCTTTACCACATGACACCCATGCATCAAATATATCTTTACATGTTTTATGCCTTTTATATATTGGGTATACAGGTCACTCTGTATGGTGTTATAATACGGTTACTATAGGTAACTTAAGAAAGGTAGCTAAGGATACGATAAGAGTATTTGAGGTACATGAAAATAATTTAACTAACATGAGTGCATTGTGCGTATGATTATTTGTCACCTTTCTAATTTGTAACACTCTTTCGGATTGGATATCTTACCGGGGATCTATATTCCTATAGACCCCGCTCTGTCGGGATCTTAAAAATCACGTGCAAGGGGAGATAACTCAAACTAGAATATCTCTTTATAACAACAAAGATGGCGTCAGACACACGCAAGCGCTCGAGGTTTTACCAATCACTCACAGGATGAAATAGCCTACAAGCAATCTAATAAGACAGCAAAGTCAACGGAGCAGGCAAGGGTGCTTATTACAAAGATGGTTGTGTATTGTCCGAAATATTGCCTGCCGAAACGGCGTCCTTTAGGGGCTATTTTGGTAGCAGTCAAGTTTAACTCAAACTCACAAAGTGACTTATAATTTTGCAGAAAGAAAAAAAAAAAAAAAAAGATTGTCAGGGGGACAAATTCGTTATTTCTGGGTTAGGCGGGGTCTTCTGGCTCATAGACCCCTTTGGTCTGTATAGACCCCTCGCCTTCGTCTTGGGGTATATGAACCCGTAGACCCCTCTTAACCCAGATATAAAGAATAATATTCCACGAGGGCTTCAGCCCGAAAGCATGCAACCTGATAGGCCAGATATTTGGGGTATTGAAATGATTACATGTCTACATTTATTTTCATAGGCATTTTACGTTTTGGAAAGTGTTAATTTTCAATACGCCTTATTAATGGTTATTTTACTTCCTAAATAACTTACCTGAAAGGAACCATGGTGGACAAAATGAAATTTATTGACAGAGTAAAGACATCACTTCACAATAACGTAAAATAGTTATAAAATGTTTGGAATCCATTCTTATTTCAATTCGTCAATTCGATCAATGATGAAAATCGATTAGTTTCAGTCGAAAAGGAGTTCTAGATAGTGGATCATACAACATCGTATAGACTTGCAGCATATGTAATACAGACCTTTTATTTAATTGGCTGAAATATCGCTGTATCTCCTGGTAAGATTCACCCGGTATGTAATACAGCTCTGTACACAACAAAGTATATTTATTCCATAAAAGCTCCTAGCAGGTGGACTAGCATAAACAAGAGTCGTAAACAAACATAAAAAAGAAGAATTATTTTTTGACAATAATCATTTTAGATCCTATTTTCGCCACATTCTGTCAAAACATCGCCATTAATACGACAAGAGTATTTTGTTACATGTATGAAAAAATTGAGTAATATCAAAGGCCTAGACTTTCCTCACATCTATGCCCTGCATATAATTAAAGCCCTTTACAAATTTATACACAAGATGAATGACGCTTCAGACATAAGAATACCTCTGATTCATAATTCGGGGGGATTTGGGCTATTGCTCGACCAGTTTTGATGGAAAATCCTCCTTATTGAAAACGTTTTCAAAAGAGGAACATGACTCCCTTCAACGATTGATTGATATGATAGATGACAAGAACATTTAAAAGTAGATGAGGAAAATAGTTCCTTTATGGAAGTCACAGTATTTCCCACGAGAGCTACATAGAAGTTATACAACGAGTGGTTGTTGAATATGGTATTTATTTCACTCGAGTGAGTTAATTTTCAAAAGTTACAAAAGACACGAGCTTTAGCGAATGTCTTTCTGTAACTTTTGAAAATTAACAAACGAGAGTGAAATAAATACCATACTCCACAACCACGAGTCGTGTGATCTGTTTCTACCACAATCTCATGATCAGTCTGAAATAACATACGCACATGTGTTTGTTGACAAGGCTGGCGTAGTGATATGACACATATGTAAAAAGTCACTCATTAATATTCAAAAATGGCTTTTTTTTTTTTACAAATCTAATAATTGTCAAAACTAATGTTTCGGCAACGACTTCATGAAAAAATATAATAGATGAACGACTTTAAATATTAAGAGTAGCATTATTGCATTAATTTATATAAATTAACCACGGACTATATGCGCGTAAGCATATCGTACGAAGTATGCCTCCCTCCAAGTGACGAAGACGAACTTATCTCTGTCAATGTCCAAAACCATAGGCCTACGTTTCTTCTTGACGGTTCTATGTTTGACGTTTATAGTGAAAGTTCAGCCATAGTCAGACCGTCCAAAAAGCGATAACGGGACGTTGGGAGAACGAAATATTTTCCGACACTGTGCCAGATCTTATTTTGGTTTCACGACCTGGACACGCGACGGTGTGACGTCGAAACGATATTGAGCGTCTGTAGCAATTTTGCCTAAAACTAGCGATCAAATCTTTAAGTATCATCTTCTTTTAATATTGCCTTAATAACCCCCTTTCCCGCATAACCTCACAAAGTCACCAACATTTGTCGAATGTTGACAGCAGACGACGTAAACAAAACAGATTGTGGCAAAAAGCACGTGGAAAAAGTCGTCCCGGTCAAAGTTCATCTTCTCGACCAATCAAAACTCGTGTAGGTCATATACCACGTGTGGCATATAACTCATATTTATCTAACAGTCTGCGTGTTTATACAATGATCTGAGAGTGGAATTACACAGCGTATTGTGGTAGAAACATTTTTATTACCTCTGTGTGTGTTTATACTCGAAATAAAAGGGTTGGAATTTAATGACAAAGAAAGGGGAGAAACAAATAGTTCAAATATAAGGATAACAATATTTCATAGCTGGTACCAAGGAGAGTCGCACTATTCCAAACCCTTTTTGCATTAACAGTTTAACGATTCTTTTCAACGAGTATTAATTAATTATTGAGCCATTTATTCATTTTTTGAATAATCTGTAACACATTATCTGTAATCTGTTTGAAGATAAAGAATAACTGGGAAGAACATAAGTTCATACATAATGGTTGCAGTGTCTTGGAGTGATGTGTCACATTAATTTCTAAGCGTCCCTTTGGTTTGGTTGTGTTTTACGTCTTATTAACAGCTATGGTCATTTAAGAACGTGCCAGGTTTTGGTGGTGGAGGAAAGCCGACGTTCGCGGAGAAAAACCAACGACCTATGACAAGTACGTGGCGGCTGCCCCACGTAGGTCTCGAACCCGCAACCCAGTGGTGGAGGGCTAGTGGTAGCAGAATGTCAAACGCCTTAACCACTTGGCCATGAGGCCCCCTCACAGCGTCCCTTTGTCAAAAATTGGAACATTCACATTACAAACAAAGTCGTTAAGTTCTTTGAAATAGGTCTGATACAGCAATGACATTATAAAGGACGTGGCATATCCCAATGAAAGGACAGAACAAGAGATGGAATGCTATTAGTAGCTCAGCTTTCAATGGTAATAGTAGTTTTAGTTGATCGCAAATTTTCATGAAATGCCATCGTTTTTTACGATTTGTGTTGCATTTGTGATTATTGTCAAAAATAGTTCATTATATAATTGTGTAGATTCCAGTCGTCTTTGTCTGTAATAATTGTACTTCAAAAAAAGGGCAGATCGACCTGAATATTTAACACAGTTTTGTCTTAACTCTCATATATCACAGACATACCCATGTATATCATAAAGTATCAATATTAGGTTAAAAGGAAGGACGGATTCGAAAATTTGATAAGTCGTTATTCGGAGTTATTACGAATTCGATATTACTAAAAGACCAATATCTTTCATACGATACAGCTATTAACAATCAAATAGAGTTCAAGTATCAAATAATAAGTATTAAGTTGTTGTTTTTGCGCATGTCATATTTGTTTCTGGTAAACTAATATGGTATTTACGGATGATGTTATGGGGTAACAAAAAGCACAGCACATTACATTGTGAATAGACGCCCGCGTAACATTTCAAATGTAGGTCATCACGGCTAGGATACTAGTACGCACACTACTGGATGCTGAGCAGCTCATTGATATAAAACAATTTATATGAATACCTATCCTCTATTATCACTCCCCTTTTTTCAATTTATTTGTTTAACATCTACGACAATGCAATAGGTGGTATGCAGATTATTGGAAGAGGAAGAACATTTTCATTTTATTTCATTTTATTTATTCCGTTTTGTTTGTTTATTTTATATTTTACATTATATTTTGTCATGTGTCTGTTATTTATTTTTTTATATATATATTAGTGTTTTTTGGGGTTTTTTTAAATGTAATCGAATGTTTCCACTCATAATTATGTTTTAATTGATATTGAGAAAATATTGCAAAAAATTATTATAGCTTTGTCAATATGTTTGATGTATGCCAATATTTCTATAACTCATCAATGACATTTCTCACATTAAGACAAACACTTTGGTTCAATGTGAAAAAAACACATGCTGTTTGTACAAACGACACATTTTATTCTTTACGCTTTTCGATTTTCATTTCCTCTATACCAGTGAGTTAAATCCGGAGCTCGTGTGGTGAATTATTTGTTACATTAAGGACATCCTCACAAACACAACGTGTTGTTGTTGTTTTTTTTTTTTTAAATATATCATTATTACCATAGACTATTCTTATCTATATAAAGTTTCTAATTTGTTACAAATTATTCAAATGCAAAAATAGTACATGAATCATATCATACTTTTATGCGTACACAATATACGGTGTATGTTATATAATAAATGATTATATGTATTGAATATATATTTTAAACGTTTTATATTATCATTTAACAATGAGTGTCAGTATACCTACCCCCTCCGTTACGGTAACATAGATAAGGAAACCTCCATATATTTCCAAGTCCTACACAGTAGCCGACACAGGCTAACACAAATTCTATTTTCCCAGCCCATGTCTCCCTCTCGACCTTTTCCCTAGTATTCGCTTCAGCAGCTCCCAGCGCTTCACCATCGTTCACGACGGTCAACTTTTCTACTTCGTGAGCTTGAATCATTTTGTGTGTACAATGTATTACTAAACTTATGGCTGTGTCGGAGTAATAAAGTGTAGGTTACGGGTCTCTTTTGTCATAAAATGTTAAACTGGAACGTGTGAATGACTTAAGTAGATATTTTTATAATGAAAAATACATGACATTTAGGTTCACTCCATTGAAAAGTAATTTGCAATATAATTTGGGCTTTGAGTAATTCATTTCTGAAAATGAATTAATAAATGAGACGATGTATATGTTCACACACTTTGACCTACTTCGATTGTCATCGCTACTTTGCCTTGTTATGTAGAATGCAATGACAGCAAATTACCCAAATTATGACAAATCACGCTCGTCGCTGGGTTTACATGAATATATTACAGCTCTTGTTGTCTGTTCCTCTGTATAGAGTCTGTATTATATCAAGTTGTTTGTAGTAACCATAAATACCATCAGAGGCAAGGTACAATAGGTGAACGATTGCTGAATCGTTTTGAAATGTGATAAATGCTTCATTTGCGTTGCTGTATACTTAGCAATGATTTATCAGACCCGCATGGTATGTTTCATAACTCTGTTTCGCCACATTTTATTCTCATAGAAATAAAAGCACACATTCACACTTTCTGACACCGCCAGTGAGAGGTTTCCATGTCCTTACATTTAATGTTGTTGCTGTTATCGTTTTTATCACAAGCTAACCGAAAAACATTATATATTATCTTCTCCCTGTCTTTAACTCCAATCTATATGAACCGATGGGATTTATTGTGAAAATTCAAAGTACAGACAATAGACATATACCTTTACGCCTTCTTTTGTTACGGGTACTATGTTGTCCTAAAGGTACCATGTGATTATATTCAAAAATGCAACCAAAATTGAATCAAAAATCGCTGTTGAAAGTTTCTCTGTAGTGACGTTAGTAATATGTAACAATTTTCCGAATTAATAGGCCCGAGGCATTTAAAGAAGAGTGGTCAATTTTGAAATGTTTCGAATACTCATTTTGGGATGATATAGCAGATGTCACCAAGGGTTCGTCCAGAATAATTTACAAAATGTACTTATGCTCTAGACTTGTACAAGTATTCATGAAACCTTTTTCATGCTCACGCATGAATTCTGTTCTCCTGCAAACTCTCCTGTAACTCGCTTAAATCATTTAACTCAGTCAAATCAGTATGCAGCTAAAAGTCTTTCCCAATTTCATCCACATCATCTACAAAATGTGTCTTTTATTTAACTTCTTGCAAGAACAAGAAAAAAGGCTTGAGCATATAATCTAAGTTTGAGCATGAGAAGGGTTTCATGAATACTGGCTCGGAACATCATCATCATCATCATCATCATCATCATATCATCATCATCATCATCATCATCATCATCCCGATTGACAAGTTTGAAAGATTTCATTGGTATAGACATTCTTGGGGATTTATTAGATTTTGTCGGATAATTAGTGGTCAAGTGGTCAAGGGTTTATTGGTGGTAGTTACCTCGAAGTATTAAAGAGAGTATTATGCGTACTAGTTTCTGCAAATATTTACTGTAACTTGTTTTCATGTTATCTTGCTGTATGGCAGATTGTTATTGAACATTAAATTATGAAAATTATTACATTTAAGTAGATCAAGTGTTTTTAAAATATTGTTAAGGCAATATTTCATTGAACTGGTTCAAGTTGCAAATAAATAATGTCAAAAAACTTATCAATATCAAAATGTAATACATTTGCTCTTATTTTAAACAGAAATAAAAAAGACAATACATATAACCGAATAGGTGAGGCATATCTCATTTATTTTTATTTTTTTGACAAGTTGTTAAAATATGAACTATTGCCAACAACCAACATAAACTCTTGTCAAAACAAGTAGAATTCAGCTGATTTATGAGGAAGAAATTACTAACTTAAAATCGCTTTATTAATTACAATTACAAGAAAGCAATATATCACATTTAACCATACTTAATATTTTAATTCTTATTTTGGAAAAAGGAGCTTTATTATTATTCTTTGTGATAATATCTACTGCTGATTACAGATCCGATTTTTAAATAATAATGAGGATAAGGGACAAATAGATTTAAATTTAAATACGAAGCAGAGAAGGTTTTGTTTTTAATTTAAAGTACTGAACTAGCACAATTAAGAGCGTCAATATATCTTTACTGGACGTGGCAGGAATGTGAAACAAACGCAAATAAAATATAGCTTATACTACAGTAGGTGTTATGTATTAAAACACATGTCCCGTGCCAAGACCAGGGGGAATGACAAGATTAAAATGGCTATCGAAAGGAACCATAGGTATAGGTTGCTTAATTTAGTTTGACATTAACTGAAAATATAAGCATGTCTGCTTCAAAATGAAGTCTCCAATCTCCACGGATGGAACAAAAACATTTTAAAATTGTATCGGTAAAAACGTGTTTTATTATGGGAGTAGCCTAGGGGGCGCGGTAGTCTAGTGGGAGGACGCCGGGCTCGTGGCCGAAGGGTTGCGGGTTCGAACCACGGCACGGCACTGTGTTGTATCTTTGAGCAAGATACTTTACCCCGTTTGTTCCAGTCTGCTCAGCTGTAAATGAGTACGTGGTTGGGTAGTGCTAGAATTGTTGAATGCTAGCTGTGAGCGCCGAAATGGCAGCACCGGCTGTATGCTCCCCAGGGAGTTGAGAAAGATGTTGGCTGGTTGCAAAGGCCCTATAACCACGGATAATAATTTGTGAACCGCTTTGAGACGACCTACGAACTAGGTTGTGATAAAGCGGTATATAAGAACCTGCAATTATGAAAAGGTACCCATGAAATAAATAAAAATAAAACCCCACGAAAATTAGCGATTCCGCCGTACGTTAACACTTAAAAAAGACATTTTCAGGAATATCAGCAAATTTAGGGAGAGCAAAGAGTTCTATTACACTGGTATCGGCAAAGACCTGACAAGAATAATAGAGGTGGAAACAAAGAGAAAACAATGCTTCATGGGCGGATTGGTCGAGTGGTTAACACTACAGCCTTCCACGTAGGCGGCCGGGGTTCGATCCCCGAAGTCGTCATTTGCATGGAATATTCAGAGAACGTGTTTTTCTCCTGCCCACACAACTCCAACAACCCAGGTGGAGTATACAATGGTCTAGGGTGGATGTTGCGGTATCTGTGCTGTTGCATTCAAGTGAGGTGGCACTATAAATGATACCGTTAGAAGCACGGTTCCACTACAAACAGAACACAATACATATCTAGCACACACAGAAGCATACACAGATAGGGATATATTAGCCAAGTGGCATAGGACTAGTAATAAGCGCCTGATAAGGCAGCTCCTGCGAATTCCTCAAAAATTGGATTGATTAATGTATATGCTAAGTGTATTGATTGTTTAAATTGTATATATATGTACTGTAAAGTGCTTTAGAGTGGCTTAGGTTAGCTAGATAGGGCGCTATATCAAATGTTGTAAATTATTATTATTATTAAGGGGCGTTCATCTTACAAGTATGCGGTCTATCAGGTATGAGACGGATCATTCAATTGCCAGGAGAAACAAAAGACGTAAGACAATGCATACACTTGTTTACAATAACGTGGAACAGCTAAGGAACATATTAGATAAACTTTCAATTAGGTCAAAGTTTGATAATCTACATATAACTTATTTTACGGATGGAAACGCTCAAACCAACAGTATATATAGTTACAGAAGAATTCGAATCTAACCTAGAGGATAACTATGCCTTGTATTTAAAGACATCGATTGAGAACAAAATCAGACAGATAGTATATGATACATGTTAAGACAGATTTAAAAAGCAAATGAATAAATATAATCTCAATCCAACTCTGAAGAATAGCTTTGTAAAACTGTCAAATTTAATTTCAATCAGATGAACTATTTTCTTTCATATACAAAGATCAGAAAGTGAATTCCATGAAAACATTTTGAAATAGAGAACTATTTTGCCTGGGATATCTGACTGACGTTTATCCAGAGTGCAGGTTATTGGTGAATTCAACCACCCAAATCTAAACGGGGAAATCTTGGAGGGCAGTAGGAAAGAGCGATCGTTGTTTCTGTTCTTCAATTTATAATTGTTATACTTTTGTAACAGAAACCGCTTTCTAAAGACCTTCATACGACTAGGATGCATTTATAACGAGAAAGGCAGAAATTGGTACCATAAGCTGGTTAGAATTATTTCGGATTGATTGCTTGCTTTTATATTGCACAAGAAATTCAACAAAAGTATTATCCTTTTCAGAAAACAACGGAAAACAAGGATACCCCATTCGATAGTACCACCTGTAAACTTATTCGCAAAAAAAAAACACGCTCAGGATGTTATTGTAATGACCAAACTATCAAATGAGAAAAACTGCAAAATAACAAATGAAGTAATAACGCTGATAATGAAAATAGGAAAACAAAATAGATAGAACCTATCAGCCGATGAAAAACAGAGCTCAAAAGCTATCGGGGGATATGTTGCTCTAAATCTAAAATTGAAAGTGACATCGCAGTTTGATGGCTAACATTTAGGTCCCCTTAAAAATAAATGTAAACCCGGGAATTATAGACCTGTCAGGTTGACATCCATACTAAGCAAGATACTGGAGACGATCTTGCAGAGACACATAGCGAAGCGTTTGTAGCAAAATGAGTTATTTTCCCTGAGGCAATATGATTCGTGCCGGACAGAGCAACTACTCTAAAGGTGCTTGGCCGATGACTTAGATAACGTTTACCTATAGATGGTACTTTTATGGACTTCAAAAAGCCTTTGACACCGTTACCATAGAGGATGATGAATTAAAATGGCATCTTAATGTCAAGTGAACAGTTTATTAATTGGGCGATAATCTTCATTCGAGACAACAAATGGTATTCTGAAAGGATAACATTCGGGTTGGACTAAAAATAACATCGGAGTGCCCCCAATGATCCGTCCTGAGACCCATTTTGTTCGTACTTTATATAATAATAATAATTCGAGGTTCTGATAAACCGCTT